CCTCATCTTCATGATCATCCTCATATTCAGCAGATGTATCGTTTGTGTTCTTAAGCAATATCTTTTTAGTATTATTCCAGGCGGACCAAATTTGACAGAGATTGACTCTTTAAAGTCAATTCCTTTATTAAGTTTATATCTTCCGCTGTTTTACTGCTATAAGTAAGGTCATTGGTATGATGTCATTAATTCTGAATGTGCTTCCTGTTGCTATCGTGGTTGGATCTTTTATTTCCAACTGAGTAATCTTTTGAGCATTCTTGCAATGGAATTATGTCAACAAACGATCATTCAATATGTTTATCAGATGTCGAATTTTCTTTATTTCCCTTACATTCCTTAATACTCTTCTCCTTATTTAATTCATTTCCCTTCTCTTGATTTAGTTTATTTTCATGTTTTTGTTACCTTTATTGTTACCAGTTATAAAACACCTTGTACCAAGGGATCTTACAACCCTCAGACCTAGCTCAGATACTGACATAAGTATTACATTTATGGGTCCATGAGATTCGGCTTAGAATTTAACCAACAAGTTAATGTTGTCTCCATTCGATTTCCCTCGGACATAGCGCATGACATTCTTTACACACCCCAATCTGACAGTTGGCTCGCAAGACTGTGCAAGCCCAAATTTACAGACAGAGGCGTATTAGACCGGGCTGGTACCGAAAATATTATTGAATGTTTTATGCTGAGTTGGTACAGAAAATATTGTTGAATGTTTTATACCATTTCCGAGTTATGAAAAAGGAACGTTACATTTTCTTGTATGAATGATTCACCTGAAGCAAAGTCTTCATCGTTAAAATTTTCAGGTTTGTATGGAAATATTCCTGTATTATTATAATGACTGACTGGTGTAGCTACGCGGCCATATGTATTTTGAAATATTTCCACTATTTCAAACGTCATTATACGCTCATGAGGTTTTTATCCCCTTTCAGCAAGTATTTTACCAGGGGTTTGGACGGTTGTTATGCCCATCTCATCTGCATTATATATTTTCAAAGCCAAAAATTTATATTTATCCAAAATGGACTTTAAATTAGAGAAAAATAAATTTACTTTAATTTTATTAAATGCAGAGATGCGGTTAATGCTTGTCGCCTCCGGTATTCTTAATCAAATATTTGGATGCCTTTTAACAAAGCCAGTCTCTTCCAGATGTTTCTTTTTCTGTGGAAAATGGAGGATGTAAATTTTTTTCTTCAGCATATTTATAGGAACATTTTTTAATTGATGTGGGAGTTGACTTATAAAAAAATGTTTTGACAACGTTATACCCTTTGCCAAAACTTTTTCTTCTTCTCTGGTAAATACAGAATTACGACCGAAAGAGGCAGCTGGTATGTCCTTTCGCTTTAGTCCTAGTTGAAGTGTAGATCTGAGAATGGCAAAACTTCTTGCAACTTTACGGAGTTTAAGAAGTTTAGCATTCCATCGTGCTTTGTCACTTTTCCCTTTGTAAACTTAAGGCATCTGAAATATAAGAGTTTATAAAAACAATTTTGGGGGTAATAGTGGCCAGCTAGCATTAACTCCACGCACGTGACTATTATATCCCCAAAATACATATTTATACTCATTAGCTCATTTACTAATCACTTAAATTAGAGTAAGAATATCTTATGTAGGCTTAAACTACAATAAAAATGTAACATATTGTAATACAACTCGTTAATTTGCAATAATTGTTATAATTAACGTTTGTTTACCTTTTGTAAATCACTAATATGAAATTTTAACATTAATAACTCACCGCTAATCGCAGCCAAAGACACTTGTGGTTGATTCAACGATATGATGTAAAAACGAATTTCTAGAAAAGATTTGACATTGACTGACCAAATAAAACTCCCACTTCGCGAAATTTCCCTTTCTCAGGAATATTGCGTGAGGCGATAATTAAATTTTAAATTATTTTAATACGAATTTTATACAGGATGTCTCACATTCAAAATAACATTCTAAAAGAATTTTAAAATGTTACAATATGTAGTTAAATAAACTAAGGGCCGATTTTTTCACCTCTGAGTAAAGTTACGTGTAGGTTTACTTGACAGTTTAACAAACAATAACCTTATAGTTTAATCAGCAAGTGGTTACTTTCTACTTTACTTATGGGTGAAAAAACTGGCCCTTAGTTACATGCTTCTACATGCCTTTAAAAATCTGACACTGATACATCAACACCAACAAACCACAAAATCTGACATTGTCAAAAATTCCTACTTAACCGGCAACAACATCGTAACTGCTTTGGGTATTGTATGAACTACACACAGATAGATGGCGTAACAGTTATTAAATGCGAAATAATATTATATGTACTATTACTTTACCACTCACCATTCTCCCCCTTTAACATATTAATGATAAAATCGATATAATGATTAAATTGTTAAAATTTATTTTGATTTCTAATACATAGATATTTATTTTTCTACACCCGTATTATAATAATGCACTTATATGCCCATAATCCGTTTCATAATGATACCCATTATGATACAGATTTTTCATTATGATACAGATTTTTAATCAATAGAAACCTACAATTTTTCAATCAAGCATGATGTTTGACGTTTGTCCTAAATTCTTATGTAATTGTTTTAGTTGTCAAAACGTATTAAATTTTCGTAGATAGCTAAACTTCGATAATTATAATATTAAAATGTCTGATATCAGCGATATAGAACACTCCTCCACACATATAGGAGAAAGGAGAAAATGCAGTACAAAATATTTTGCCCCAAAAATCTGTGGTAATACCAGTACCCAAGGTAATACCATTAATTACAATTTTGTAGAATTTTTTATAGAAATACGAGTAATTACTGTTATTGTGTTCAATACCAATATAAATAGAATATTTATAGGTCTTGATTATTTATCGGGTGTAGAAAAAATAGCGTATGCAACTCTCATGTAATGGTTATTAAAACACTCGCATAAACCATACGAAACTCGCCTTTGGCTCGTTTCGTATCCCGGTTAATGCTCGTGTATTAATAACCATCATTACATGATCGTTGCATAATATACTATTTTAACGATTATTTACAAGTAACTACATTAATTTAATGTTTTTCTTTTTTTCATTATTTCACACACTTGATTGGATAATTCATACGAAATAAGACTTCATAACTCAGATCGTTAAGTGTTTAACTATATAGCTCTAAAGATCTGCCTGTTGAGATCTTTTTAGTGTATTAAATGTACTTACACCTGTATAACAGTTATACTATTGATCATTGTGAAATTATGTATTGTAAATAAAGATTTTCGAATTGAATTAAAAATTGAATTGTTCAACTTTATCGACTTTAAATTTTGCAACCCGAATTCTATTACCGATAAAAGCTTTTTTTTATTTTTTTATTAATAATTAGGCTGAGCATTTCCAGCTTAACAAAGCCATCATTAAAGCCGTCCTTAAAGTCGTTACATATTAAAATTTTATAAATAATAACCAAACTTACGTCTATGATACCTTCCACATTAAATCAATTAAACTATACATTGAGTTGTTAACAACATACATTTTAAAAAAGGTGTAGCATTAATAATATTATAATAAAATAGATAAATTAGACATAGTCTATAGAGGTACAACAGGTGACAAGCGTACCTTATTTTGACATTTGATAGCAGACATACGACATAGACATACTGACAAGCAGAAAGACCGTTCGAGAGTGGTTCTGGGGTCAATCCGGGTTAGACCAAACTTATCATCAATAAATAAGTAACATAATATAATAATGAGAAAGAGGAGGCGGGATATACTAGGCTTCTAAGGATAAAAACCATATTGAGGTTCTAAGAAACCTAAGTATATTTGGTTTTGGGAGACTATTGTACATCGGAATTTGAGGAGTAGAATGAAGGTAAATGACTCTAGATCCATATTAGGCCAGATAACTTGAAGTAAATAGACGTAAGTAGACTATGATCCTTACATGGGGCACCTAGTCGAAGAAAAAAGGGTAAATTGGAAAGAAAGGAGGAAAGAAAGAGTTAAATAAAAGGGACAAAGTTATAGTGAACCCAGATAACACACGACATCTGGAAGACGTCTTTATGTGTCTTGGTTTGGTCTCAATGTCCTAGGAGGATATCAAGACGTCTGAAAAAAGCCATAATTCAGACGTATTAATGTGAGAGCTCAAAGACGTTTTTAAGACGTCTTAAAGGCGTCTTGCTAAATCCATATAATAATATGAAAGCTTAAAGACGTTATTAAGATGTCTTACGAACGTCTTTCAGTCGGACGGAAACTTGACGGTTTACATATTTCAATTTTAACAAGAAGGAGAACACAGACCTACGCTATTTTTCATGTCTACGCAAACCTAACCTCACTTTTTTGTTAATATAAAGTCCAACTGTGATCTCGGTAATTTTCTCGCTCCGGGTAAAGTAATCAAAGTTGATAGGGTTAGTTCCCACCAAACAGTATCAAACCGTCTACAGCCAAAAACAGCGAAACAGATGGAAAAATCCTGAAGAACTAACTAGTGTAGCAAGAATTCAAACTCCAGAAATCCTTAAGGCCAAGAATAAACTAAAACTCTAGACAATAAACGCGAGTAAATCCACATGAAGGGGTCTTACAACTACTAATATTGGGGTCAGTCTCCCTGAACAGGGGGAACCCCTGGCTGAATTTTTTACCGAAAAAAGTTTGGAGAATTCTACACCTAAATGTTGGCTGATGTTCCAAATGACCCAAAACATAAAAATAGTGCCAAAATACACTTAAATATAACGATTGTCGAAAAAGAAAAAAATTACTACATAATGAAAGTTTGGAGAAAACCTACTAGCCGGATTCGGAGTCTGACATAGACTTCTACGACTCACAAGATAGCCAGGAAGGCTCGGCAACACTCACAGCCAAAAACGACCCAAATATAGTAGAAACCAATATGCACTAAACTCAGGAGGAAAATCTCGAAAGTCAGGGGAACGCAATCACGAAAGAAGACAAAATGAATGTGGATACGGTGTACGGTGATCTAAAAGATACGGAGAAACCTGTCCAAGGAAATCCACAAACATACCAACAAATTATGAAGAACACTAACATAGTAAATCCACCAGAAGCCACATTCGAAAGTATGGAGAAAACTAATACCCAAACTCGAGACCGCCCAAATAAAGAAAGTATGCAGAATACTGGAAATAATTCAGAAGCGACTAAAAGACAACGAAAAGAAAGTATGGAAAACCCAAATCAAGGAGCGGTGAAAACGCACCAAACCCAACACCCCAAAAGGAACCGTAAAAGACAAAATATCCCCAGTGACAGCCAAACCTAAAAAGACCTCCATACCACCTATAGTCATAGATGGAGTAACAAGTAACCACAGGGAGATGATGACAAACCTCAAGGAATCAATTCACGGGGTTTTCACTGTGAAACACACAAACCAATTCACAATCCTGTTTGTAAATAAAAACGTAGATTAAAACAGAGTCCTCAAGAACATAAGAACCGAAAAAAATCCCTATCACACATACACACAAAAGCAGGATAAGTCACACGCGTTTATCCTAGGAGGTATGACAAATGGAACCGAAATTGAAGACATCAGAGAAGACCTGTTAGAAAGCTACGAAATAACAGCCAGAGAAATATACCCCATGAAAACCGAAAACAGGTCACTTTACCTGATCGTCACTGATCCAGCGATCACCCTGGATTTCCTCAACAAAAATGTTCGAGTCATTTCCAACATCAGAATCACATGGGAATTACGCAGATCCGTCAAAATGATTATACAATGTCACAATTGTCAGTTGCCTGAAATGCGCCGGTGATCACCACACTAGAACTTGTCTCAAGTCCAGAGAGACGCCTGCAATCTGTGCTAACTGCGGTGGTGATAAGCCCGATAATTATTCCAAATGTCCAAACTATTGCAACAGGATAATACAAGACCACACACCGCAAGAATGAATGATGTTTTGAACGATTTACGATGGTAATTGCATTTACCTTATCCCCGAATCTTGCACCGTGATTATCATCTCTTCCCTGATTTAAAAACCCTTTCGATTTGAAAGTTTAATTGACGTAAAACGTGCCATAAATGGATGGATTGAAGAGACACCAAAAAAGTTCTTAAAGGACGGTTTAAAAAAATAGGTATATCGTTGGGATGAATGTATTCAGTTAAATGGAGCTTATGTTGAAAAACTACATTGAAATGTTGACGAAAATTAACAAAATAATAAAGATTACTGCTAAATTCCCAGAACTTTGGAAAGATCCCTCGTAATATAGCGATATATAATCAACTGATATATGAGACAAAAACGTCAAATTATACGAATTTTAATAGTGGAAAACACTAGATCCACACACTTTTCCAATACGCGTAATTTATCTAAAATCTAACTTAACTCCGTCTACAACACATTGGCGATACGCCTTTGTCCTCTGCGCCACAAGAAAACAAATTTAAAGTTGATTATCTTGGTAATATGCGATGCATAAAGTTGGTTTAGAATGCCCGTCCAGTGGTAACTGCGATGTGTATGTGATGTTGAACGGCAACGCTTATTGTTGTCTAAGGAAACGGGCCACAGAATGGATTTGAAACGTATATGGTAAAATATATCCATATAGAATTAGAATATGTTTGCAGAACATTTGATATTTTAGTCACATACTTATCGTATGAAAAGAAAATGGGAAAAGCAGATCTTAAAATAACTTCGAGAATGATGTCACTTATTTACAGAAGAGAAGAAGTGTCCGATCAATTTAGAGTAGTGAAATGTGTTTTAAGTTTTTTCTTTGTGGAAATTTTACAGAATAAAATAAAAAAAAATAAGTTCATAGAAATAAAAAGTCTCTCTTGTATCTCCCGCTTCCCGGTCGCTTCTTAAATTTTTTGAAGTTTAATTACCTTTCTCCATTTTATGACATTCAAAGCAAAAATGTATAATAACTTTGATGGGCATTTTTGCCTCTAGTAGTATTCGTTTAGTTGTTAAGATTATTTTATTACCCACGTTGTAATAATATATTATCAAAATATTAAAAAAATATTAATCAATATAAATAATAATAAAAGGAAAATATTTCGTAACTCAAATGTGAACAAAACATAAAATACATAAAAACAAGAAACTTTCTAAGAGCCGTGTCACAAAATAAAATGTGTGTTAGTGCATTAGCTTAACCTCACTTCTTAAACGCACATGCGCAATTATATTTTCGACATAACCCAAGTAACACAAAACCCTACTACTAGCAAATAATGCTGGACGGAAGCATTAATTTTTCGAAAAAAAGGTCAAAGATAAGCACGTTTTCCAAGAGTCAATATCGCTGTTTTTTATTATTTGAGTTTGTATTAAGTGTAGTTATTATTATCAACATCATACTGTTTTCAAGTACTACAACTATTGATAAATGAATATTTCAGTTAGTGTAATATTTGTTTTCTTTTTAATACGTTGAATACCATCTATAAACATTATTAGTTAGTAAACTGACTTTTCTTCATAATTTGAGAATATTTTTAAATATATATCAGGTTATGTAGAAACCTTGACATTGATTTTTGTATAAAAAAATTTATATGAAACTTTACCTACCATTTTTTAGTTTTTATTGTAAGTTTAAATATTTTCACAATTTGTCACAGATGTCAAATAAAAAATATATTTTTTAAATACCTTTTATTGGCAAATAAAATAAGAACTAAAATGTTTTAAATGTTTATTTTATAAGATCAGTCCCATCACAATACATAATATTACACAGATACAAACTAGAATAAAGATATATAATGCCTGCCATTCTAAATGATACTCTTCACAGTTTAACCCCCATTTTCAACCAGATTGTTTTCACAATCAATATGCCTCATCTTTTTATAGAGCTTGGTTTTTACTAAAAATTTCATGTTGATATCGCTTTTCATTTTTGATTTTTTTTTAAATTTAAATCCCCCTTAAATCCCCCATATTTAATCAGATTTTTTTTTTAATTAAAGGGCTTCTTCTCCTTTAAGAGATTGATGTTTGCTAAAAATTTCAAGTTTATATCATTTTTCGTTTTTCAGTTAGAATTTTCTTTTTATATTTTAACCCCCCTTAACTCCCCAATATATTCATATTTTTTTCAGTATTAATAGGCTTTATCTACTTATAAAGCTTCATTTTTACTAAAAATTTCATGTTGATATCGCTTTCCGTTTTTAATTTAGGATTTTTTTTAATTTCAACCCATCTTAACCCCTATTTTTAATCAGATTTGTTAAAAATCAATAGGCTTTGTCCCCTTATAGAGCTTGATTTTTGCTTAAAATTTTCAAGGTAATATCATTTCTCGTTTTTAACTCATCGTGCAGACAAAAAACGTGACATCGGACGGACAGACAGACAAAGTAAACCTATAATACTCTTCACAGAATAGGTACTGTATGAAGAGTAGAAAAAAAAATCTATAAGGTTAAATATACAATAATAATAATAATAATATTCAACTTGTTTTATCAAAGGATACCAAAAGTTTGAAATAGCAGCCCATAATTGAACATTTACATAAATCGTTGAACTAAACTAGTTCACTAAAATTAATGTGTTTTAATAAATTTTCAAATTATTGTTTAAATGTAGATAGTATATTAATGTTTTAATATATACTTATAGGATTAATTAGCCAGAGCATGTAGATATGTGGGATGTGACTTGTTAAGTGCCTAATTAAAATCAAAATTTATGTTTGTTACTTATTGCTTTTTTCGAGACATACTTTATTACCAACTGTAAACTAATTTACCAACAGCCTTATTTATATTTAATACCTGCAGTGATCCAAATTACCATAACATCTAATATTTTTGAAAATACTAAATTATACAAACAAGGCAATAAAAAAATGTCATTAAAATAAAAGATTTCTGGTTTGTATGCAACAAACGATATAGGTTAGAGGGTAACACGATTGATAATTACAGGCAAATATAACTGTATAGAGGTAAGCTATTTAAATGTTCATACCATTTCTTAGGTAAATTTTCTCATCGAGTATATTAAATTAACTGGTTGGTCCATTTTTCCGATTCAGACTTTTAAAGTGAAAAACCATTTGTCTCTTTATCGTTATCAAATTTTTATTGTACATTTCCATTTCCATAATGATGTCAAATAGTTACCTCATCAGAATAATTAATTTTTTTCTTTTAGCGGGTATGTAGGAAACAATTTACAAATTTTTTGCTTACTTCTTACTTCGTTGTATTTACAATTGTGTACAAAATAGACTATTTTGAAGTTGTCTTTTTTATGGTCTTAGACAATGAAACAAAATATAAAACAAATTACAGTCGTAAAACTTTATTATAGGTAAATAAACAAACATAATCTTAAAAATTTTTATTTACCTTGCCTTAAAGAAGTTTTTCGGGAACAATCGTTAAATTGACACACATCCTTCCAATTCATTAAAGTTGCAGTTCTCAATTAAACACATTTTTTAAATAATAACAAATAAATTAATCTTAATTTTATTAAAAGCGACGGAATGACAGTTTGTTTGATTTGGTACAGTGTTGCCAAAATATGTTTTTGTTATGTGCCAGATTTGTCTAAAAAATGTATCAGATTCCTTAACCCTTTCGAGCCGATTGGTACTCATATGTACCATCAGTGCTTTGAAAAAGACTAACTTTTCTGTTTTGCATAATTGGTGGTTTTATTGTGTACCAGTCCGTTCGGTATTCTAATTATGGACGAATCTGTGTCTGGCTGAATGGCAATGTGCCTATGCCAAAAAAAAAAAAAAAGTCCGTTCGGTAGTGTTTACTACGCCGCAAATATTCATGTAAACGTTCTACATAACCTGAAAGCACGTGTTTTGTCTTTAGTTTCGAATGATAGCTGAGACTGTTCGCAGTGCACTGCTATATTTTTAACCCTTGCCGTGAATGTTAGCGCTACTTTGGCGAGATAATAATAGTTTCGACAAAATACAAATTGCTGATCAATACGTTGGTAAGTGCATATCAATTTATTATCATTTTTATAAAAATCTGCACAGGTACCGGCATCGGTACCCATGTGTACCAGTAGTCTTCTGAAGTGGTATACATATTTACCGTGCGTCCTATTTCAGGTAAGGTTGTGAAGAAATGACGCGAGGAAAACTCTCACAAAAAGAGATTCAAAGGCTTGCAGAAGATTTGTCCGAAGTTGATTCAGACTCAGAACCAGAAATTTTTGCCAGTAGCAGTGATGAATATAAACCAGATAGCGACGTTGAGGATACTTCTGAAGACAAATCACCGGAAGTTAGAAAGAA